GAAAAACAATTCAGAACATTAGCACTTGTTCTTGAGTACAAAACCCAATAAAAAAAATTTTTTTGATAAAAATACATTCAAAATAGACCTTTCAGTCAAACCCAAAAATGACAATAACCAAAATTTCATTTTCTTTTCTTTTCTTTTGCTGCCACTTTCTCAGCAACCAAATAGGACAGAAATATTTTTGTATAACTACATCTGATAAAAAGAATGGTTTCTATGTTGATAACAAAAAAAAAAGAAAAAAAGAAAAAAAGGAAAAAGAAAAAGAAAAACAAACCCAAATAAAAGAGGGGAATTGTGAGAGGGAGAGAGAGACGAGGCAAAGATTTATTATCATATCAAAATTCAAAACCCAAATAAAAATCCTAGATTCTCACACCTTCTTCCAAAAAAAAGAAACAGGGAGTGTAACTTTCTACCTTGGAGCTGTGTAGAGAGAGGAGGTAGAGATTGAGGCTGATGGTAGAAATCACCCCCCTCAATGGTGCTATATTCTGTCAGAGCTATATTTCGGAAATCACCATCGGAGATTAAACTTCTAAAGAGACAAAACTTGGTAGAAAGAGGAAGATATGTGGTGGAAAGAAGAGATGTGAGAGAGAATGGAGTTTCAAATTTTGAAATCAAAATCAGAGAGAGAGAAAGAGAGAAGATATCTGTGTGAATTGATTCAATCCTGAGGGTAAGATAAGAATCAAAAAGCTAAATGTAAAACTGATTCGAAGCATTGGTATTCACCCAAAAAATCTAAACCATTAAAATGTCTAAGTAGGACAAATGAGAGTAAGACATTTTCAACCATTGGATTGAATCAATCTAATGGTGCATATTTTGACAGATAGACAAAAGTCCTATTAGGATTCAAAAATGTATGCCTGTGCCTAAGGGAACAGAGGAAATAATATTGTGATTAATCTTCTCCTGTCCAATCTTTTATGTAGTACATGGAAAATTTATTCACAAAATAATTTCGGAGAGAATTGTTCCTTTCTTATAGCGTCACTATTATTCTTACCCAAGTTATCAATCTTTCTTGTTCTAATTGAAGAGGTTGGTCTCATTTGAACTTCGGCTCAAATTAGAAAGGAATATAATCTCAGTAATTGGTAACCAAGTTGACAATGTCCAACAGTGCAAAAAACAAAGTTGCACTTTAAATAATGTTATGTGCTCTCTAAGAAACATATAGTGCAATTTTGGCTTGTTCAAATTCAACTAAACAAAGTTTTGATCAAAAAGAAAAAATAAATTCAACTAAACAAAGTTGACAAAAAAGAAAAAATGGTCCAATAATGGTTATGAAGGCCTTTCTTAGGCAGTGTGTATTGTGGGAAATCAGAAATCAACTTTGTGTGCCACTTCTATGCACTCATATAAAACATCTTAATTCATAAACAAAAATAAAAGAAAATATAAATAAAAACAAATGGAAGACAAACAAACAAATTTAAACAGTGAAGTGGCAAACTCATTGCCCTCAAAGAATTATAGATTCTTTGAGTCTTTCTATAACAAATGTAGAAAATTGGAGCGCATTTTGGAGGGAAATGAAGGCATCTCAACCGTTAAATTTTGGATGGAACAATCTAAATCATTGAAACACAATGTATCTCTGATAATAAATCCCATGCTTAAGTGAATAAAAAGAAGAAGAAAAAATTTAAAAAAGGAGGAAAATATAAAATATAAAAAAATAACAATAAAAATGATAGAATTTGGAAATTTGAATTTAATTAGACACCAAGAAACAAAAAATTAGCAATGCTGATCAACAATCATAAAAAAATATTTTTAATGTTTTTTTTAATAACCTTAAACAAAATTAACCATATATGACAGTCAAATATTTTTTCCAAATCACTTGGTAGCAAATCTATATAATCACAAAAGATTAGATAAACGAACATAGGTCTAAAAACTAATTCCATTTAATCTAATAACAATAAAAAATGATAAAATTTCATTTTGAACTAACCCAAAATTACAGAAAGAGGATACCATAAACTAATAATTAGCCAAAGGAAACTCAAAATTACACAATAATCTATGATTAGCCAAAGGAAACTCAACAAAAATAAAATAAAATAAAATAAAAATTTGAGGCTGAAAAATATTTATGAACTATTTCCTCCACTTACTCACCAACCAAATATGATAGAATTTTTTTGGTAAAAGCTACTGATTTATGGACTAATAAATATTTATACCGATTCAAAAAAGTCTTCAAAATTGAAACAAACAAAAAATAAATATTACACGCACTGTGTAATTCCATTCCATGTGAAACAGGTCCATACTCTCACACTATTTAATTTCATTTTTAGAATTTATTTATTTTTAAATTTGACAAAAATAAAACTCAAACAAATATTTTCAAAATTTTTAAAAAATATTTATGATCCAAAAATAGAAAATCTTAGAAAGTTTTTGGAAAATCTTAAAGCTCAAACTCAATGATTTAACACAAATCAAACTCTAGCATAGAAACAAAACAAATATGAAATTTATATAATATGACCAACACTTTGTTTTTGGTCCGGCGGGGCATTCCTCTGAATTTTTTTTTTTAAATTTTAAAATTAAAATTAAACAAAGTGATGATGAAAATGTGGATTAATCAAAAAAAGAAAAAAAAAAGAAAAAAAAAAGAACAAATCAAACTCTAGCATAGAAACAAAACAAATATGAAATCAATATAAACAAATCCAACACTCTGTTTTTGTTTTTGTGAGTGAAGCAAAAAGAAAAAAACAAAAGCAAAAAGAATTCTATGAAGCTTTCAATTGGTGGAAATGACTCAGCATGGTCCAGCTTTAATTTGCATGTTTGAGTGAAACAAAAAGAAAAAAAAATGCTCTGAAGCTTAGAAAGTTTTTTATAAAAAAAAATCTTAGAAAGTTTTTAGAAGGACACAAATCTGAAATGATTTAACAAATGCTTATATGATACCTTCAAAATGAGTGTATACCATAGTGTTTCCCAAAGACTACAGATATATAGTAGACATTGAAAATTATGAAACAATGAAGAGGAAATATACCCAACAAATTCTTCAAATGGTTGAAGAAAGACAAAGATTGAATATAGCCATGAATTGAAAACACAAATATATAAATAAATAAATAAATAGAATTTATCACCTCCCAACACCACAGGCAGGACTCTGTCTCATCTTCTAAGATATCAGCATCAATATTAGGGACTCTATACAAAGATCTCTGACCAATGAAAAGCACAATGCTCTTCACAAAAGCAACAGTGGTGGAAAACCCAGAAGCAGAGCCACTCTCTCTCACCCTCATCTTTTCATATATCTGATCGACCAATTTTGAGAGCGAAAGAGTTGTCTCTTCAAGCAAGTACGCAATCGCCGAATTGCTCGAACTACACTCATTCAAATCCAAATTAATTTTATCATCTGAAACCTCTTTGTAGTACTTGAACAAACCCTCCGTCTCTACGCGCAAGGCATTAACTCGAGCCTCTCTCTCTTCTATGGTCAATGTTTGGACCAGTGAAGAAGAAGAAGAAGCTCTTTTCCTCTTCTTGAGAGACTTGGTCGCACTGTTTTCGTGATCTAGGTTGTTATTCATTTTCTTCGATTCATCAGCATCGACGACCATTGGATCTTCCATTGAACCCTGACTTTGCATGTACACTCTCAAACACAACACCAATTGACGAAAAACCTGAACAACAACAACCAATCTGAATTCTAACGAATCTGAAATCTATATAAACAAATCCAACACTCTGTTTTTCTTTTTGTGAGTGAAGCAAAAAGAATAAAAAAAAAACAAAAGGAATTCTATGAAGAGGGAGAGAGAGAAGAGCGTATGAAAGAAAAGGATATCTCTGAAATGAGAATGATGGAGGATTTGGGCAGAGATGAAAGAGGAGAGAGGAAGAGCACAGGCTAAATCTGGACCATCCAGAGTGAATAACAATATTGATTTCAACCATTGAAATGTCCTTGTAGGACAAATGAGAATGAGACATTTTTAGTCATTAGATTGAAGCAATCTAATGATCCACATTTTGACACATAGACATTTTCAATTTTGAATTCAAAATCAACCTTCCATTTTGGGTCTCACCTTCATCTCAATTCCAATCCCACCTCTATCTCTCAAAACAAACGGGCCTAAATGTGTAATGTTATTCCCTTCCCTTATTTAATTTCATTTAAAAGCCATTTTTTTCTTTTTTTGTAATTATTTTTTCCTAAAGTTTTCCCAATTTTAAATTACTAAAATTTATAAATTTTAATAATTAAAATATTAATTTTTACCATGAATTTGTAATTATTTTAAAAATGAACCTGTGTAATTGTCAAGATTTTTATTAACGTAAAAAAAACTAAAAAGGTGAGATAAAGGGAGGAAAAATAAGAGAAATGTCTCATTTTCATTTCATAACTTTCGATTACACTTTTAATGAGGTGATAAACAATAATAATCAATCAACTCTCTTTAAAGAATAGGATCACTTCACAATCAATCAACTCTCTTTAAAATGTAGGATCATTATGTATGATTAGGAGAAGAAAAAAGAAAGGACTTTGCACCACTCCAATTTATAAAAAATACTTAGGGTTGGTTTGGAATGTTCTAAAAAAATATATTTTTTGACTTATTAGCTTATATGAGTTGGGTTTGGATTAGGTTTGATGTGATGTGTTAGAGAGGTAATGTGATTTAAATAAAATGATGTGACTTAAATAGAATAGTGACTTTTTAACTTTTTATATTATTTAAGTTATGCCAAACTTGACCTTAAAATACTTATTTATCACTCCTAAAAAATTTTAATTTATTAAACATTTTATCATATAAAATCTAATCTGTGACCTCAACCTTTTGTTTTAATCCAAAAATTAAAAAATTATTATAAATTATCACATTACTATTTTTATTTTTTTACACATCTTTAATAAAAAATTCAAAAATTACTAAAATAAATTACTCTCAAACTCGCCTTCAATATCAGAGTTTTAGAAAGTCATTGAAGAGGGATAAATTAGGAGACGGAGCATCTTTGTCAATTCAGTACGACGTGTGTACCAGGAGGAGCACTAATCAAATCATGTTTAGCACCAATGAAGCAGGTGATGGCAGATATTTTTCTTTCCTTTTCTTTTCAATTTTCCCAACCGCCAAACATCCAAATTCAAACAGCGGGTAAAAACTTTTGGTACTAATTGGATCATCATAACAACATGCATATGATTATCGAAAGAGAGTATACTTTTTAGGTTGAAGAAATCCCATCTCCCCTATCCCCAGCCAATCGTCCTCCTCAACATCTAACTTCCACCAAACCCTTGATCCTCGGTCGGAAAACGGAAGAAATTCTGGTAAGTGAATCCCCATCATGTATGTATATATATGCAAGTATGCATTTTTAAGAGTTGTTATAATATTGTTGATGGACTCTTTAAACCCTATAAACCCTAAATCATAAACGAGATTTGAAGATTACCAATATAAGTAGGATTATGACTACTACTTGTTTGATGTTATGCCCATGAGAAGCTAGCTACCCTTTTTCCTCTTACCAACTTTACCATACTTGTCGTTTTCCTGAATGACATTATTGCAGTTCTAAATGGAAAAAATAAAAATAAAATAAAATAAAAAAATTGCATATATGATAGACTTATAGGCTGGGTTTGGATTATGATTTGGATAGGTGTATGTGGAAAGTGAAAAGATAATTGGAGAAAAAATTTACATTTTTCTCATATTTTTCGTTTTCCCTTTTCAAATCTGTATCCAAATACATAATCTAAACACAGTCTATCATCTTCCCTATGAAATGATTAGTGAATCACCAATTTGATTCATCTTACATATGTTAATATATGTATACGCATATAAGGTTTGAATCTTGGATTCATGTTTGCAATCCCTAGCCGTTCTTTTTTCTTCTTTTTTTTAGGGCAAATTTCACTTTATCTCTTGATTTGGCCCATGTATGGATTGTCATGTGGAAATAAGTACAAAAAGCCTTTATGGGTTATGGACCAAAGTAATATGTCCATAGGTTCATATGGATTAAATTAAACTATGCTTTTGCAGTCAAATTACCATGTTATGTGACAGACTATCACATAAAGTTGTAAAATTATATCTACTTGGCCACAAGTTTTAAAAATATTATCATCTAATTGTGCATCCACTATGCACAAAGTCACTCTTGTTGGCAGAATGACCCAGGTTTTTTTTATATATTTTTTATAGAAAGGTCGTGAAGGGAAATGGCGAGTAGAGACTGCGACTACAGATTTCTCCAGCTACTGGACGCCATGGCTTCAATCAATCAGACAGTAAATCTCATTGGAGTCGTTGTCGATACCAGTATCCCCAAGAAGTCCAAGGGTACTGATTGTTTTTGTACAGTAAAAATAGTTGATGAATCATATTCAAGTCCTGGGATTCTAGTCAACTTCTTTGCTGAAAATATGGAAAAGCTTCCTCATGTCGAGTCAGCTGGAGATATAATTCAGCTTTCTCACGTTGTGATGAAAACTTATGAGAAAGAAATTTACATTCTTTTCAACAAGAAGTTCTCTTCATTTGCTCTGTTTGATGGGAAATGTAGTACCAACTTCGTTCCTTATCAAGGATCTCCAAAGTTTCGCCCCAGAGAAGAAGACAAGAAGTTTATAGCAGACCTAAGAAAGTGGTCAGCCGATTATCAGCTAGAGAGAGCAACAAATGAATGGTTATCGTTGAAAGAGATCAGAGTGGGAGAACGAATTAATTTGATGTGCAAGGTTCTTCATACCTACGAAGTTACAGAAAATGAGTGGGTTATATTCCTTTGGGATGGAACAGACACTCCACCAGTTACTGTTCAAACAAAGCTTGAAGATGAAATGGTAAACCCAATTCCTTTAGATTTGCAACAATTTCCCTTGTCAAGAGATATATTATGTACATTCCCAGCTGTTGGAACTGTGTTGAGGATGATTGTTGATCAAGGCAATACTGAGAAGCTTGGCCTTCACTTGCTAAAAACTGGTAGATGGGTGAAATTTCTTAACATTATTTGTCATCATCATGCTGGACTGTGGCGTGGTTTGCTGATGCCCTTTACTAGGCTCCGATATTTGCCCAATGATGATCCTCTCGTATTACAGTCCCAAAGGTCATCACTACTTTCAGTAAAGGCTTAAATATGTATGTATTGTCTACATTTATTATTTAAAATAGGTGCTATAATTTCAATAATTTATGTGATTCAGGGATTATGACAAGCGGGTATCATCAAAATGGGCATGGATGCCTTTGTCAAGCATTCCTTGGCCTTCTTATATTACAGGTTTTTAAGCGTTTCTTTGTTGATCTTGAATCTCTCTTTCTATGTTTGGAACTTCTGTAATTGTATCAATTTGTATATATGGTAACATTTCTGTTTTATTTTTTTTTTCAGAGACTGATTATAAGGAAGTGCCTTTTGTTACATTAATGAATGTTCTCACGTATCCAGAGGTAACATCAAAATTTAGATGTGTAGTTCGGGTTATTGCAGCATATCCATGGCGAGCAGAGGACTTCCGCTCCCCGCTTGGGACATATAGGATTAGGCTGACCCTAGAGGATCCAACGGCCAGAATTCATGCATTTGTGTATGCCGAAGATGGGGAGGAACTTTTTGGTGGCTATCCCTCTGTCAATGTAATGATAAGGAAGCGGAATAAATTGCTTGGAATTGCCAACAGTGATGACAGCAGAGGAAGAATTGAGTATGCCCCCAGAAACCCACCATGGGTACAGTGCTGCATAAAATCATACTACCTTGATAAAAGTGATGTTTGGGGAACCAGGAATTATCGGATCTTTGCTACCAAGTTAGTGGATCAAACTAGTTAAACAGTTCTTCTAAACTATGCATATATTAAAACTGCTGTTTGTTAGAAGGTATGTCAGTGTTCGCCGCACTCGGCAATGTTTCATAGTTTGCTCTGTTGTTTGAACAATTTGTTGGTTAATGATCATATAAATTAAAGCCGGTTTTGGTTCAATTTTGGGCTATGCTCTTCGTCTTGTTCAGTATATAAGGTGATGAATAAGTCTTTTTATCCTGTCATATAATGCAGCTTTTCAATAGTTTTGGGCTTGTGTTCTTCAAAATGATTCACTGAATTAAATGGCCAATAAAATGGTTTGTAACAGTTCTAAATTGGATGACGAATTGTGCATTTTGAAGTAGCAGTTTAGAGGAAAATCAATTGATGTTTGGATACATTTAGACCCTGTTTGGGAACAGGGTTGGACTAAAAGAGTTTCTTAAAAGATAAAATAGGTTAAAATAGCTAATAAGATAAAATATTACATCTAAATCACAATCATTTCACTTTTTTATTTTGATAATCATAAAATTAACTATAAAAAATGTTAAACAACTTCTCGAATACAATTTTTTTAGTCAAATTAAAATAATTAAAAAATTAAGAAGTGAATTAATATAACTAAGTTTTCACACAAGGTCTTAATCATTTTTATCACCATAAAACCTAATCTATGAATTGAAGGAGTAATTAATTGTGAAAGTAGTACTGATGTAACAAGTTTTAATTTATTTAAATGAATGGACATTTTATTCTTGAATTTATAATTGTCTTTTATTTGTTAAAATAAATAACAAAGTCATGTAATTATAATTATTAAATAAATTATAATTATTTTTTTTATAAATAATCTAAACACACATATTGAAAAATGAATGAGCCAAATCATTAGATTATACCCTGTAACAAACCCAAAAATAGTTGTTTGGAATCATTTAAGGAAGTGTATTTTTTTACTTTTTATAAAAATATGTATAGAAAAGTAGAGAGATAAATAAGTGTATTTTTTTAGTGCATCCCAAATAACCCATAACTTGGACTATCTAATCCATTTTTAACAATCAATACAAATTATTTCCTTTATTTTAGGGAGCTGTTGTTTTCACTCTATTTTGTTAAAAAATATATATTTTTTATTCTTATTATACATAAAAGAGAGTATATTTGAAATAAAATGGAATGAGAATAGTAATTATATATAATAAGAATAAAAAAATGATAATATTTAAAATAAAATAAAGTGAAAATAACGGCTCTTTTATTTTATTTGAAATTATGTTTACCTGACATCATCTAACAAAGGTATAAAAAGACCAATAAAAAGATAATTATAAAAAATAAAATATATATTTTAGGAGGGGCAACACACGAAAATCCCATAATTCAATATTAGGGTCTTAAAGTCCAAAAATTAAAAAAAAAAAAGAAAAAAGAAAATTTTTAGGGGGTCTCTCTCCACGTTGTTATCCAAACGGTTCTTTTCCGCGTCAGTTTCCTCTGCTTCTCTCTCTCTAAATTCTATCTCTCTGCTCCGAAAAAACATGAAATATTCCAACGAAAAAAAAATCATAGTACAAAATCAAACAAATAAAACAAAGAAAAGGGTTTTTGAAATTTTCGGTTGATTCCGTACTTTACCTTCCAAGTTGCAAAAAACCGAAAGTTTCAAATTCCATACAAATTTTCATAATATTCATACCTTTGATTCCACCATACCTTTCTCTTTCAGCTCTTTCTCAATTCCGTTACAGAGAGCCAAAAAAAAGACCAAATCTTGTTTCACATTGCGTTTAGGAGCTGGAATCGTAGCAATTTCTGGGTCTTACTCTGTTTTTGCATTTGGAGGCTGTGATCAGAAGAAAATCATATCATATGTACAAGATTATAGAGATATATATGTGGGTTTTCTATGTTTTTATATATAATTCGATGAGATGAGAAAAATTGTATGTGAATTGAACAGTGAATTGGGAAGCATTGGCAGCAATGGACACGAGGAGAGTCCGTTCTGTGACTGTTTTCTTTGTTTTTGTTTTTGTTTTCGCGTTGGCCGCAGTGCGTTCGGAAGGCAACCGGAAAATTTTAGGAACCCTTTTCGGCAATGGAGTCCCTTGGATTTCTCCAGAGCTAGACTCTGACACGGTATCGTGATTTTCTCAACTTTTTCTTTCTCTTTCATATGCTTTTTGTGTGTATTTTATGAATATCATTAGGTGTTATGATTTTCAATTGTTGTACAATATAGGTTGCATTGGAACAATGGCTTTGCTTGGTTTTATGCAAATGGTTTAAAAAGCAATTTCAGTTTTGTGGTCATATTTAGTTGAGAATCTTGTTGATTTTAAATGGAGATACGTTGAAATTATGAAAATTTGTAAGGTATTGAATGGAAAAGCTGTTGGACAATATGGAGAATATAAAAGAATGGAAAAACTTTGATTGCGAAGTTTGTCTATTGCAGCATTTGACAGTAAATGGGTGGTCTAGTAAGATTTGTTTTGTCATTAGAATTTAGAAGGTTTTGGGCATACTCAATTAGAATAAGAGAACGAAATGAAGAAAATGTGTATGTGGAGAATATGAGCTATGACGGTCCATCATACTTGGAACAATTTGAGTTTGAAACTTATATGCTAAGACCATTAGAAAGTGTGATCCTATACACTACAAAATGAGAAAAAATATCATTTGCTTAGCCAAACTCATTTATTTAGGACAAAAAGGTGTTATTTAATTGAGGGCACATGTAGGGCTAGATGAGTGGCAATGGTGACTGACAAGGAACTCTTTCTTCTATTTTTTTGGACAAAGAAAGTTTTAGTTTTTTTAATTATGCATGTCATGAATTATGCTTTAATGTTCTTCCTTATTATATGCTCTGCATAAACTGTGCCTTCCTAAAATAATATATAACTGATCTCTTAGAAATTTGGGTTTTCTGTAAAATATCATGTCATCTGACACTACTTGTTTAGGAGATAAGCTAACTAATTTATAAGCTTATAAGTTTTGAGTTCAATACAGATCGCATTCAGGTATTATCATATCGTTTTTATTATTATGGGTACTTGTTGGCATTTCAATTCATTCTTAATTAGAGTATTCTTGTATGTAAGGATCTGGTGGTCGAAAGTAATCTTCCTAAACTGGAGGTTTTTATGTTGCTACTTTATAGTTTTTATGTTTTCTGTTTTTCTATTTACGTATAAGTTGCCCATTTTCCCTGTTGCCTCATCATTTTTAGGGAAACATTTTGGTCTTAATGTATTTAAGCACTCTGGTGAAAATGTGCATGCAATAAAAGACCATTTATGACTGCAATTCATCAAGGAAGAGTCATTTTTTTTTTTTGGGGGGGGGTCATGTTCAAAGCTGTTTTTATTCAAGCATAGCCAATCATTTTGAAAGCTTGATAGTTCATTCAGCTTTTTTACTTGTTAAACGAAACAATTATTAACCAAGGCCAAGTTTGGCAGCCCAAAAATAATCCATCTTTTTATCTTTTTTCCATCGCAACACCTCTCTACTTTTCTGTACATCTTTGCGTAAAAAGACAAAAAGTACACTTATTTAGGTCATCCCAAACAACCTCTAAATATGATGAAACACCTTGCTTGCAGGCAGAGCAGGCGTGGATTCATTGTAGGAAAGAAATGGAGGACAGTACAGAAGCTGCTCAAGGTTTTGACTTCTATCTTCCTGCCCAAGTGAAACAAACTCTTTCAGATTGTTTAAGAAGAAAAATTTTTCCATTTCGCGCATCTGGTAAAGTGGCGGACTCTAGGGCATGGTTTGAAAAATGCTTAGAGTTTCTATTTGGTTGGTCTAATGTTCCCCGTAGGTACCTTGTAAGCAAGTCACATATAGCAGGAAGTCCTGCTCCTGCTCCAGGTCCTTTAGCCGCATCGCCTGCCTATGCTCCATCACCATCCTATCTGTCACCTGCCAGCTCACCATCTCCAATACCTGAGCCCCCCGCCGAGGGCCCACCTCCTCCACCAAAAGTTAATCGTCCTCCACCACATAAAATCAATCTTCCTCCACCAAGATCACGTCCCCCTCCACTGAATAATGGTGACAACCAAAAAAAGTATATGATCGTAGGTATAGCTGCAGCTGCCGTGGTATTACTTGTCCTTGTTGCTGTGCTCTTATGTTGCTGTCTTAGGAGAAAGAGAAATAAAGCTGGTCCTGAAGAAGGACAAAGAGATGAGAAACCTCTTCTCAACATTGGCCTAAACAATGCGCCTGGTATTTATTATGAGTGTTAAGTTCTGTCATTGCATACATTAGTTTGATGATTTCTGTGATTTGAATAGTTTTTATTTTTCATGGTGTAGGACAAAAGAACTCATCGGTTGTTAACAATCTGTCTGTTGATAGTAATGCTTCTTCATTGGTCCTAGCTCAATCATCTGGAGCTACTGGAAGTGTGTCTGGAACCGCTAATGCACTGTTACCACCTCCTCCAGGAAAAACAGCTCCGCCACCGCTCCCCGGGCCACCTCCTCCGCCACCACCTAAACCTCCTGCTCCCAGACCTCCACCACCTCCAAGAGCTGTTCGCCCTCCACCAGTTCCACTAGCTAAATCACCTCTTGGACCACATCATCGAGGACATTCTTCTTCGGGTGGAGGAGATGACCTAACCAGTGAATCTGACAGCCACAAAACCAAGTTAAAGCCGTTCTTTTGGGACAAGGTTTCTGCCAACCCTGATCATTCAATGGTTTGGCATGAACTTAAAGCTGGGTCATTTCAGTAAGGGTTCTTCATTTACTTTGATTTTGTGATGAATAAGTTGTCTGGATGTGTTGAACAAAATTGGTGAGCTTCGTTATGAATTTACAGGGTTAATGAGGAGATGATGGAAACTCTATTCGGTTATGCGTCAGCTGAAAAGAACAAGAATGAACGTCGTCAGAAAGATCCATCATCCTTTGAAAATGTCCGCCAGTTTATCCAGATTATAGATCCTAAGAAGTCACAAAATTTGGCAATTCTTCTAAAAGCATTGAATGTGACAACCGAAGAAGTCTGTGATGCACTTAAGGAAGGTGACTCTCTCTCTCAAAAAAAAAAAAAAAAATATGTGACAATATAATGAGGTCTTCTTTTTGCCCTTCATTGGAGCATGAAGAGGGACTTTCAATTTAGATATTAATTTTAAAGTTGGACTCACTCAAAAATACAACATGTTTGGGCTTAAAAAAATTACCTAAAAATTTTCCTTTCAACTGGAGAGTGTTTTAATTTTCTTTTACCTTCTTGCTTTCTGCTTCATCAGGACTTGGCTGAAGTTTTTTTGGCATTAGCACCCTGGTTTCTTCCCATTTATTTTCTTTTTTCCAAAACATGGACGATGGTTAACCTTGGTATCCAAGAACATTTCCCTGTGCCCTTGTCAACTCTGTTAAGACTATGGGACACCAGAAATCAATCACACACAATAACACAAAAGATTTAAGTGGTTCGGCAATTGCTTACATCTACGGGAGTGATATCCACTGTAGAATTATCCTGGAGGGAGATTACAACTCACACCTCACAACCCTCTATAGAATGCACTCTTACTCACAGCTTATACACTCTGTGTTTGCTTTCTTCAGCTCTGTGTGTCACTCCCATATCTGTAATCAACCCCTTCTCACTTATCTCAATTTATAACCAAGAGAAGTGGAGTAGGTGAAGTGACAGCCATAATTGGCCAAGGTGGTGCCACTTTCACTATCTTCCTTTAGTGAGTTGGTGTTGCCCCCACCATCTTTCTTTAGCATATGGTTCCACCCACACCATGTGGAATGTGGGCTGGAAGCTAATAATTGTCCCTCTCCACGCCCACATAGATAACTGACTTCTCACTTGAAGTCTATCCCGGTCAGATTCTTGCAAACTTCCAGTTTGTCTCTGGTGACACCCTTGGTCATCATATCAGAAGGATTCTTGTCCGTGTGAATCTTCACTAGCTTCATCAACTACTTTTCCATCACTTCTCGTATCCAATGATATCGGACATCAATGTGTTTTGTACGTGAATGGTTCATGGAATTCTTGCTCAAATCAATTGCACTTTGACTATCACAATGTACCTTGTATTCTTCTTGCTGTAGACCCAATTCTTGGAGAAATCGTTTTAACCATAACATTTCCTTTCCAGCATCTGCGGCAGCAATGTACTCTGCCTCTGTTGTAGATAAAGCAACACACTTTTGTAGTTTGGACTGCCATGAAACAGCTCCCCCTGCAAAGGTGAACGGAAATCCTGATGTAGACTTTCTACCATCAAGATCCCCTGCCATATCGACATCTGTAAAACCCTCCAAAATTGGTTCAGCTCCCCCGAAACATAAACACATCCTTGAAGTTCCCTTCAAGTACCGAAGAATCCAACTACTCTTTACAAGAAAATAGCATTGCGGATTACAATTTACACATAATAAAACATATTACAAATGATAAGGTACAACTTTCAGCTTACAGATTTTAGGTCACGGGTTTCCATAAATAAATGACACAGTTCTAAAAGGGTCATCATATGCATAGCTTCTTCTTACAGCCAATCGTACTCAACACAATTTCAAAATACTCATATGCAGTAATTGCACAAAGTCACAGATCTAAATATGGACAAGGAAGACTATATCATTTTCTTTAGTCTTACGAATATTCCCTACCTAGGGTTGAATCACTTCATCTAAACAGATGATAAGCAACTTCCAATCCACAAATAACAACCGATTACATACATCTTATTTAATCATTGACACATAGATTGTCTTACCGACCAGGTCGAACCCTCACCACACTTCCGCTGCGCAACTTTATTGATTTAATCCCATCTGCAAGTCTTACCATGTTCTACATAGCAATCAATCATAATATATACAAGAATGTACAATAGACATAAATAGTAACCATTGCGGTTAGCGTTATTGCATATACCATTATCGTTGCTATCAAGTACTTTCATATGCACTAAGGATGTCATGCATGATGCCTAAGTCTTTTCTAGACATCCTAAAGCTTAATGACTGATTACCTCCCATGTCTTTCCTTCTTGTCTCTTCATTGTACATGGTATTTGTGACCATGCTCATGGTCAGCTTCCCTTCTGGTGCAGAGTTGCTGAGAGAGCTCTCCTGTCTCTTGGAAGTGGAACAAGCTCATAAGTGTGGGTCTTCTGCAAAGAACTTATCTCCTCTTTCATGGCTTGCATCCAATAGTCTTTCTCTGTATGATTCTTTACTTTCGAAAAACTCTCGGGCTCTCTCTCATCAGTAATCAAAATATACTGAAAAGTGGGATATTTGGTTGATGGCACGACAGCTCTTTCAGATCTCTACAACTGAGGCCCAGTTGCCTTTGGTTGAAGGGGTTGCTCCCCTTGCTCAACACCCTCTTCATCCGGGTTTTCATCTCTTTCCTCCTAATCCTCAATTTGTGGCATAGGATCCTGCAACTCTGGCACTTTTTGTTGCACATCATCACATCTAGTATTTTGTGATGGCTCGGGAGATGGAAACAAGTCTGGAGTGATAACATCTCTAGACTTTGCAGATTTCTCAAAATCTACTACTGTCTGGTCTTCTTGGAGCACAACATCTCTGCTGCTGAACATCTTCTTGTTTACTGGGTCCCACACCTTGCATCCAAATGTTGCATCTGAATAGCCCACAAATATGTATGGAGTGGACTTGTCATCAAGCTTTTGTCTATTTTCCTTGGAGATGTGTGCAAAAGCCTTACACCCGAAGACTCTCAAGTGAGAATATGATACCTTTCTTCTGGACCAGACTTCCTCAGGTATCGCAAAATTCAACGGGACTGAAGGCAACCTGTTGATGAGATAATAGGTTGTACGGGCGGCTTCAGCCTGGAATGACTTTGGCAACTTTTCCATTTTGAGCATACATCTAACTCTTTCAATAATAGTGCGATTCATTCTTTCTGCTACACCATTGTGTTGTGGGGTGCCAGGAACTGTTGTCTCGTACCGGATACCTCTGCTGGCATAGTACGCTGCAAAAGCATTAGAAGTGTACTCGCCTCCATTGTCTGTGCAAAGACACTTCAACTTCTTCCCGGTCTCTCTTTCCACCATTGCATGGAACTCTTGAAAGTGCTGAAATACCTCATCCTTTGTCTTCAGGAAATACACCCATAACTTCCTTGATGTATCATCAATGAAATTCAGAAAATACTTGCGGCCGCCATGTGACTCCACTTCGATTGGGCCACAAACATCCGAGTATACCATGTTGAGCACTTCTGTTTTCCTCTTACTTGTTGAACTGAATGATACTCGATGTTGTTTGCCATAAAAGCAATGATCACACGGCTTCAAGGCACTCCCTTTGGATAAGGGTATTCTGGATTGCTTTGCCAATAGATGCAATCCCTTCTCACTCATGTGAGCCAGTCTTCTGTGCCATAAGTTCGGTGACTCCTTGTCTTCTGCTGCATTAAGACTTTCTAGACAGATCTTTGTTTGAGTCTTATACAGTGTTGAAGACATCTCTCATCTGGCGATTGTCAAAGCTCATCCTGTCAGCTTCCAACGGCCATTCCCGAATGTACTTGTATAACCCTGTCTGTCTGGGGCGCTTCCGGAGATAAGATTGAGGCGTAAATCTGGGACATACCTCACATCTTTGAGAACCAGCTTGTTCCCGACATTAGTCTGAATGCTAATGTCGCCAATACCCACAATCTTCGAATAGCTAGAATTTTCCATTCGAACAGTGCCAAAATCTCCAACGTTGTACGAGCTGAACAGTTCTCTGTGGGAAGTGGCATGATAGGATGCAACTGTGTCTATCACCCATTCTGTGTAGCTGTGGTCAGCCATGTGAAGACAATCGTCCTCTTTACTAACTGCAAGAAGTATTTCATCAGTTGTTGTGGCTGTTGTGTTCTCACCTCCTTTTGACTTACTGCTTTGGCCTTTCTCTTTCCGGCTTGGGTAGTTTCTCTTTATGCGACTCTCCTGGCCATAGTGAAAGCAAGTGAAGCTGGAGTTACCTCAACCTTTGTTGTCTCTGGATTTACTCCTGTTGTTCCAGCTGCCTTTACTCTTGTTTCTTCCTTTACCTCTTCTCCGCCTCTATCTTCTGTGACAAGAGCATGGGACTGATTACCTCCCATGTCTTTCCTTCTTGTCTCTTCATTGTACATGGTATTTGTGACCATGCTCATGGTCAGCTTCCCTTCTGGTGCAGAGTTGCTGAGAGAGACCACTAACGTCTCCCAGCTGTCCGGTAAAGAATTGAGCAGTAGTACGATTTGCATTTCATCGTCTAAGCGCATCTTGACGGTTGCAAACTGATTCACCAGATTTTTGAATTCACTGGTGTGCTCGGCAACAGACATACCATTCTTCAATTTCAAATTAACAAGCCTTCTCATCACCAAGGCTTTGTTCCGAGCGGTCTTTGAGCGGTACATGTCGTCTAACATTGTCCATAGAGAATAAGCATCTGTCTCCTCGGCGACATGATGGTACACACCGTGGTTTATCCATTGTCTGATACAACCGATAGTCTTGCGGTTCATCTTTATCCAGCCATCATCTTTCACTCCTTCAGGTTTAACTCCCTTTATAAAAATAGGGTCAAATAAGTCTTTATAAAACAGGATGTTTTACATTCGTGACTTCTAAATTGCATAATTGGAAAGAGTCAACTTGAACATAGATCCTGAAGTTGATGTGGATCTATCGTATTCTTTCCTTTTATAGAAAACTCTAAATGAAAAATTTGACCGTACGGATGTGTCCGGAATACTCCAAATAGTTGAAAACCATTATTGGATCGTCAAAAACGGACTTAGAATGGCTCAAATAAGGTCAAAACAGTTTAGACAGTTCAGATCTGCAAGTGTACCTTAGCCGCGCAGCAGCGGCTAACTCTCTGCCTCTGGGTTGACTGGTTAACAGGGGTGCTGATGTGGTTAGCCACGTGGCACTACTTCGACTGACGTGGCAGGCACGTGTCAGTGAGATGACCCTTACGTGTCAGATACGTGGCAGTGATCTGGCAATGACGTGGCAGCCACGTGGATAGTGACGTGGCGTGTGACGTCACAACACGCGCACGCACTCGTCGCGTGGAGCGTATGACGAGATTGGACTGACGCGCCGACTCGTCTGATTGGCTCGTGAGGCGCGTGTTTGCACGTGAGATTCACGCGCTATCTTTAAGAAGCTCGTGAGAGCATGTGCGGGCTCTTCTGGAGCTCTTCTTTGCAGTTCGGGACTCTTCTCGTCGAGTCCTTGTTCGTGGTATGCTCAAAAACTGATTTTTGGCAACTTGATTTCTGGACAGTTTCGAAAAACACTCTGTTTTTGTTCCGAAACGCGATCAACGAGGCTCTCTTGTTAGTACTATGGGACACTAGAAATCAATCACACACAATAACACAAGAGATTTACGTGGTTCAGCAATTGCCTACGTCCACGGGAGTGATATCCACTATAAAATTATTCCGGGGGGAGATCACAACTCACACCTCACAACTCTCTATAGAATGCACTCTTACTCATAGATTATACACTCTGTGTTTGCTTTCTTCAGCTCTGTGTGTCACTCCCATATCTGTAATCAACCCCTCCTCACTTATCTCAATTTATAACCAAGAGAAGAGGAGTAGGTGAAGTGACAGCCATAATTGGCCAAGGTGGTGCCACCCTCACTATCTTCCTTTAGTGAGTTGGTGTTGCCCCTACCACCTTTCTTTAGCACATGGTTCCACCCACACCATGTGAAATGTGGGCTGGAAGCTAACAACCTCAAGTTCTAGGTATTTTAGATAAGGGATATCCTTGGTTCAGTCCGAGCACTCCCTGTGTTCTCTTACTTATTTATTTTTTATATTTTTTTAATATATGCTTATCTGGCATGAGATATACATAACATTTGGGGAAAAAATGGAAAAAGAGAGAGAGAAAGTGTCCGTAGAATTCTCTTATTATGGTTTTGATACATATTTATTGGCCGGAGGATGACATAGATTCTTTTCATTGCTGATGTGTACATTCTTTCCAGAAACTAGATATTTTAGGGCTATACAATGAACTGGCATGATCAACATATTAAGGCCTCGTTTGAGAACATACTAATTTAGTAATTTTTTGATTATTTTGCTAAAATATGAGCTAAAAAAAACTAGTATGTTTGGGATGACTTTTTGACTTTTTACGAAAAGATGTGCAAAAAGTAGAGAGAAAAGAGAATATTTGACTTTTTGGTATGGGTTGTTGATTTTTTGATTTTTTTAGTAACTTTTTAACTTTTTGGCTAAATGGGGTGGTTCCCAAACGAGGCCTAAGGTAAAACAAATTTAAAAATAATAAAATTATAACTGACTAATACATGCATCAAGTCACTAGGAATTTATGTTAGCCAATGCAACCATTCTATATTTTCATATCCCCCGTCTTCATAATTGTACAACTTTTCAAGTTTTCTCTTACTTTTTGGTTTTAAATGAACAAACTACTTTTCTGTCTTAATTCATTAGGTAATGAGCTTCCTGCTGTCAAGCTGAGCTGGTTCAAACTTTGTTAAAGATGGCACCAACAACAGAAGAAGAACTGAAGCTTAGGCTATACAGCGGAGATCTTTCTCATCTTGGACCCGCTGAACGGTTCCTAAAAGTCATGGTCGACATCCCATATGCATTTAAACGGATGGAATCATTGTTGTTCATTAGCTCTCTTCAGGAAGATTTATCTGCCATTAAAGAGTCTTTCGAAACTTTGGAGGTGAAAACATTTGATCATTGCACGAAACATCTTATTCAGTTCTGTGTCAAATAAATTTATGTTCCAATTGCAGATAGCTTGCAAGGAGCTCAAAAACAGCCGACTTTTCCTGAAACTCTTAGAAGCGGTTCTCAAAACTGGCAATCGCATGAATGATGGTACTTTCCGTGGTGGTGCTCAAGCATTCAAGCTTGACACACTCTTGAAATTGTCTGATGTTAAAGGGACAGATGGCAAGACCACGCTCCTCCACTTTGTTGTTAAGGAGATTATTCGATCAGAAGGAGTAAGAGCTGCACGTGCAGCAAGACAGAGCCAGAGCATTTCCAGCGTAAAAACCGAGGATTTTCTTGAGGATTCTAATCAAGAATCTACAGAGTACTATTGCAACCTCGGTCTTCAAGTAGTTTCTCGGTTAAGCAATGATCTAGAGAATGTAAGAAAGGCAGCGGTTGTAGATGGTGATAATCTCATGACGACAGTGTCCAAATTGGGTCACTCGCTATTAAAAGCTAGAGATTTCCTAAATAACGAAATGAAGGGTTTAGAAGATGACAGTAAGTTTAAAGATACTCTAGCAAATTTTGTGAAGAATACTGAAGTTGAGATCACGTGGCTGCTAGAGGAAGAGAAGAGGATAATGGGTACGGTGAAGAGCACAGAAGATTATTTCCATGGGAATGCGGGAAAGGATGAGGGCTTGCGGTTGTTTGTAATTGTGCGTGATTTCTTGATAATGTTGGATAAGGAATGTGTGGAGGTGAGAAAATCAGCAGTGTTGCCTAACAGGACTCCCAAGAAAGAGACTCCCTCAGTGCCGCCTTCTTTGGAAATTAATCAGTCAAATTTAGCCGATGTTCGCCAACGATTGTTTCCAGCAATCAGGGATCGTCGGGTGGATGATTCCAGTTCAGATGATGAGAGCTTATCCCCGTAGCTCTGTGTTGATAGATACAGGTACAAATGATTCTATTGCTAAGAAACATGTTACTTCAATTATTTGAATCTTTTTTATTTAGGAAAACTATGTTTCTTAATTTCGTGAACATTTGGGTGTATTTCTGACAACTTTAAGGAAAATTGGCTCCTAGTATTTACAAATGCATGGAATAGGTTTCTGATGGAGAGGTAGAGATTGTGAAGACCGGATTTCCTTCATTTGCTAAAAGTTTTTTATATACTAATATGATAAAATGTTATTGTGATCCGTCTTAATTACTGCTAGAAAGGAAAAAGGCAAAAATTAGTAGAGAAGTAAACTTTGTAAGATGCGTTGTATTTTCTTTCGCCTTCCTTTTTGGAGAAAAACAGAGAAAGGAAAATATTGAGAGGGGTAGAGGATAAAATGGGCAGCTCAGTGCACGAGACTTCCACTATTGCAAGGTCTGGAAAAGGGTCAAAATTCGACAATGAAATTATTGTGACTACTAGACACCATGTTCTCAAAATTTCTCCCTTGTATATGATGCAGTTTCAGGTGGCTATGAAGTCTCGGCAGAGGATGGTCAGAATTATGTTGTCCTGCAATAACACGTGAAGCTTCGAGTCCTCCTTTTGAATTTTTTGTTAAATGGAAATTATTTTGTTCCTGGAAGAGAAAATAGTTCCAACTGAGGCAAGAGAGAGTCACTGTAGTTATTGTCGTGCTCATAGCCAGCACTTTGTATCTAAATGTATTTTTAGTCTGTTTATATTGACCCTTTGTTTATAACAGACCTAACTGTTTCCATGAAATTGTATGGTTGTTTTTCGCCTTTTTATATTTGATGAATATTTGAGCCTGTAAAGTATGAAAACCAGAAATTTTTTAGCATGAACATTCCTTTCACTTTTCGTGCCTTCGTCATCGTCTTCATGGTGTTCTTGACATCTTTAGCTGAGGAGGTTCAATGTTATTACTCTTTCAATTGTTACTTTGCTTGTGTTTTTATTTATGTACAAGCGAATCATCTAAAGTTTGGATCCTGATTTTTAGGATGTTTTCTGTAACTAAATTTTGAACATATCATAAATTTATTTCAATTAATAATTTAGATAACTTTATGTTTTCAATTTATTTTATTAAATAAAAAATTCTGACAATGAAGTATTTATAATTTTTTAAATTATAAGGAACAATTCGTATTTTAAATAAATTTCATGAAATATATTTGTAATTTATTTATTTTTAATAATGGAGTGTCCGAATTAACTTACGCACACTAGGCTACTAATTTTTGAGCATGTTGCAATTGGTGATTCTGAATGTAGTGATTTTCTATGCATTTATTTTTTTTTCTTCTGTTTAATTATGAGTGATGCTATTAACATCCCACAAATTATTTTGGATCTCCTCAGTTTTTAGTTTTTTTTTTATATTACAATAATAATCTCAAATAAAATTATGTTGGCTTTTTGGCTTTTCGAAGGGTATTTTTGTGAATGTGAGCGTGCCAGCAAGGATCAATCAGTCCTTACAGAAATTATAATTGCCAACCAATTATCAGACGATTGTGTTTTAGTTCTTTTCAGCCTCAATGAAGAGGACTTTTACTGGTGGCTAATTATTTTGGATCTCCTCAATTTTTAGTTTTTTTTTTATATTACAATAATAATCTCAAATAAAATTACTACACATGACATCATTAATTCTGAATGACATCTTTAACCTACACACCCTCTGCATCATGAATTAAGGTTTATGAGAGTGTCAACCTCCATCGCCACCCATCCATCTTTCCCAAATCTACCTTCAAAACCTGTCCACCCTCAAAACCTTGAAAATCCTTTGACAGCAATATTCCGACTATAATGGTGGTAACCATTTGATTACCTACACTTTCTGGCTATGACAATGAGTGTAAATTTTTCTGACAACCACAACTCCATAAGACGAGAAGAGTACAACAATAAAAGTTTAGAGGTTCATAACTTTAATGTTGTTCTTAGCTCATAGGAGATTGGTCTTGTAAGGGTAAATTTATTGAAAAAAGTGGCAAAAATAATAAAATATGTTCGTCATTTTTTCTGGATTGAACTCCCGAATATATGGCCGAAATTCTGAAACACAAGCCTGAACATTGTTTATTTGTTCGAGAACTGATAACCGAACATTGATTTTGAAATTTTTGTGATCTAGGATGAGTCAAGAATGAAGAAAACTTAAAAAATTGAACTGTTTTAAGAACTGAGAATCGGAGATTTTAATATCTGAGAAGTGATTGTATGATAGGTTAAGATAAATAAGGGTAGTGACAACTATAGACAAGTTTTGTATTGGAACACTCCCTAAAAGATTATTGTGGCTCAAATCAAGACCTTGGATTTGAGAACAATGAAAAATATTAAATGGGAAGTTGGTTAAATCGGTAGAGACAAATATTCTTCTTCTTTTTGTTTCTCTTTTTCCTCTTCTTCTTCGTGGGTAATGAAAATAATGTGACTATTCTTTTTCTTAGTGGGTTTTGTAAGGATTTTTTGGAAGGAAATTTTTTTTTGGGGTGTGAGGGGTGTGCATTCAATGTGTGGAATGTTTAAGGATAATTTTGGTATTATTTGGGGAGAGAAAAGAAATTTTAAGGGTTTCAAAATTTACAAGTGGGAGTCCAAAGAAATACGGGGTCTAAAATAATTTATGGGGTGCTAATAGCACCACTCTTAATTATACTTTTTTTTTGGGTAAATTACACTTACACCTTCTGAAATTTGGGTTTAATATATATTACCATCTGACGTTTGAAAAATTACATTGATCTCCTTATTATTGTAATTATTTAGACGAAATCAACGTTGGTATCAAAAAATTAATGAATTCATACTCTTCTTTTCTTGCTTTGCTTTACTCTTTTTTTTTTCTTCTTCTTCTTTCATTTGCTTTATGTACTCCTTTTTTTTTCAATGAAATTTTTTTTATTTTTTTATCTGGAGTTATTGCCTTTTATATAAGTAGAGAAGTTTATGAAATGAGACTATTAACTATAGAAGTGAAAATATAATTTTTATAACGTCAAAAGATAAAATGTATTAGGATCAAACTTTAAGCGGTGTCAGTGTAATTTATTTATTTTAATAATTCAAAAGTGATGTCACGAGTGTTATACCAGATATTTAATAAAATTGGACTTATTAAAATACATAGCCTCCGTTTGGAAAGTGAGTTGACTTTTTAGCTTTTTGGCTATTTTAGCCTGGGGCTAAAAAGCCTGGTTTGGGAAGGATTTTTTGACTTTTTGACTTTTTTGACTTTTTTTGTGAAAGAGGAGTGTAATGATTATGGGTTGAATTTGATGTTTTATTTTTTGTGACTAAAATAGCTATTTTATTTTTTGTGACTATTTTAACCCCTAACCCACCAAAATTAACTTCCCAAACTATGCCATAATAATAAATTTAACCATTCCAAAAGTCAGACAAAAAATACCTTTTTTAGACTAAAAAAGAGTAAACTACCAAGAACATCCTTAATCATTTCTTATAAATTCAAGCATAATTGAATGGTTTTATAGTATATATTCACAGAGTGATTGCGACGTACTATCTAAAAATAAAAAATAAAAATGATTGCGGCTCTCCTTCCGTGTGTATATTATAGAGAGAGAGAGAGATTAAAAAGGGATTTTTTTAACAAGCCTCAATTTTATACTTTCCTGGTTCTCAAATTTTTTTTTGTTTTTTGTTTTTTTGTTTTTTTGGGGTACTTTCCTAAAATTGCCTAAAGTTTAAACAAATGCATGTAAATTTCTTTGTATTTTGGTTTGACATTTAGGATACAATTGATAAAGTACTTTCAACCATTTAATAGCCACACAACCAATTTTTTATGAGAAATTATTATATGGATAATGTAGTCGTCATGAACTCATCTCATATTATTATTTATTTATTTTTTTATAATTTTCTTATATTTAGAATCATGCAATAATTATACTCCTCCTATAATTTATTGAACACTCAATTTAAAATTCTTAAAAGACAATATAATTATTCCATTCTTTGTGGCTCATGCATCCTATTTACACAAATTTGGGAGGAAGTGCACACAGCCCTTTTAGAATGAAAAATGTGGGATTTTTTTTTTTTTAAATGGTAAGATTTTTCTCTGGTTGGTAGTGTCAATTGGAGGTGTTGTCGGGTTGATTATGGGGCTAATTTTGATAATTTAAACTATTCATATTTTTAAATTAATTGAGTGAATCATTCTTATAAAAAACTAAATTAATCGAAAAACCATAGACATATAATTAGATTACAACATTTGTTATAAAAAAATGAATGACAAAATAATTTTAAGAATAGAGCATTCACTATTTCAAATATAATGTAATCTAATTATACATTTACAATTATCTGATCAATATAATTTTTTGTAAGAATGATCTACTCAATAAATTTTAAAATATAAACGGTTAAATTATCAAGGTGGGTCTCTCCTGGTGGCAGAGGCTCCACAACAATGAAAAGAGAAAAATAATATCAAACACATTAAGGTAGCGTTTGGTAGAGTTTTGTAAATGTGATTTGAGAGTAAAAACACACGTAGAAAATTGATTTGGGAATAGAAACAAACAGAGCCTAAGATTTTGACAAAAATTCTCTTACTCTCTCTCTCTCTCTCTCTCTCTGCACCACCATCACACTCAACCCTTTTTCGCTTTGCTTCCTTGAAGTTTAAATATGGATTAAATCTTAAAATAAAGAGGTAGACTATACCGCAATGGTTGCATGGGTGGTTCTGATGGTCATGAGTGTCAAAATGGTGGGGACGAGATAGGAAACTAAGGTAAAGCATGGATAGTAAGGTTATTTAGAAAATGATGGTGGACAGTCACACAAGGTAAGGAGTAGAAGAGAAAAGAATAAATAATATTAAAGGAGATCATCACGAACGATCAAGGAAAGTGCATGGGGTTTTACATAAATATTAGGGCAACCTCTGGTATGAAAGTCAATTATGGACTATAAGGTATTGATTGAAGTTGGCTATAGATTGAAACTTTTTAACGTGATTGTAAAAGCATATGCTTTAGCTATCTAGACTTGTGGAAAGCGTCAACTTACATCATTAACTTTGTAATTTAATTTGTGATTCTAAGTTTCTCTTCAACAAGTTAGATTACTCATCAAATGAACACATTTATCAAAAAAAAAAAATAAATACGTCAATTTATTAGATAACGAAGCAAATCATATTATTAAAGAAAGCATGTTTTTTACAACTAATCTAATTGTATTGCTAATCACTTGTATGATGACTTTAGATGGCGAAATATCCTCGGATATATAATCGAGAAACTCTTATCTAACATGTTACTCCTACATATCTTTAATTTACCTTAAAAAAAAAAAAATGTAATCGAGAAACTCTTATCTAAGATCATGTTACTCCTACATATCCTTATTTTACCTCAAAAAAAAAGAAAAAGAAAAAGAAAAAAAAAAATCAAATGGGGCCATCCTCTGCATTTGAAAGATTTCCATTTCGTAATCCAAAAAGATGCCAAGAGCATAGCACAGAGTGCTTTTCAAGTCCGTGGGTCCACGACTCTTGAGCTTAATGGGCCACCGCTGCTTCTTCTCAAAAACCCTACTACTATAAAGCCTCTCTTCCTCTTCCCACCCTCAAACACCAAAACCCTACTCTCTCTCTATATCTTGATCAATCAATGGCTCAGAGGCGCCTTTCTGCGATGGAAAACCCTCCTTCTGCTTCTTCATCAGAAGACGAATCGGAAGAAATCAACGACAAAGAAGTAGATCCAAAACAAAACCCAAATGTTGAATCTCAAGAAGACGAAGATGAGGAGGAAGAATCTGATGATGAAGAAGAAGAAGAATCAGATGAAGAGAAAGATAAAAAGAAACCCTCTGAGCCCGATTCTTCTTCTGACTCTGAAGAATCTGATCCCGAAGTCCACTCCGCCGATACCCAACCCTCCCCGTCCGCCTCCGATTTCACCATCAAGCCCATCGCCTCCAAACCAATGCTCGATTCGACCAAGCCCAAGAAACCACCCTCCAAACCTGCTACCCCGCCATCGAAACTCTCGAAGCGCCTGGCTGAGATCGACCCCAATAATGGGAAGGACTCTCAGAAAAAGAAGGTGAAGGTCTCTAATGGCGATGAGAAAGACGGTGCTGTGGAAGAGAAGAAGTTCACGATCAATAGGTTGTGGAACGAGGACGATGAGATCACGGTGTTGAAGGGAATGATTGAGTTCCAGTCGAAGAAAGGCTCTGAACCTCATGCTGATATGGGTGCTTTTCATGAGTTTATCAAGAAATCGCTTCGTGCCGATGTTTCCAAGAATCAATTGGTGGATAAGGTGAGGAGGCTGAAGAAGAAGTACCAAATCAATGCTGAGAAAGGCGAAGATCCGACTTTTTCCAAGCCTCATGAGCTCAAGACCTTTGAACTTTCCAAGAAAATTTGGGGTAATGGTGGAGCTAGTAATGCTGTTGATGATAATGCTCCAAAGAATGAGGCTAAAAAATCAAGAAAGCGAATCAAGGTCAATAATTCTGCACCTTCTCCGAAAGAAGTTAGGAAAGAGCTCGTCTTGCCAGAGGCATCGAAGGTTGAAGCAAAGGACCCAGTGCCTGATCAGAAGGAATTTTGGGTTACGTTTCCTTGCTTGAAAGAGTCTCTGGAGTTGAAGGAGTATTCTACATTCTCAATGCCAGAGCTTGGAAAGAATTTATTGAAGGATGGTATGAGTACGATTGGGAGCGCGAAAGCTATGGAGTTGGAAGAAAAGTGGAAGATTTTTCGCCAGGAGGAAGTTGCTCTATACCTGAAGAGGACAGAGTTGATCCAGGAGCAGACAAAGCTGATATTGGATGCGATGAAGTCTGCAAAACCCTAAGGTTATCTTGGAGGTAATTACTGGTATATGGTTGTTTCTTTTGATGGAGATGGTTTGAATCCTTTTTTTTTGAAGGGTTATTTGTCTGTTTCGTTAAAACTACAGGGCTTTAAAAGTTTTGAGTATCTTTTAATTAATTGTCTGGATAGCAAGTTTTGCTTGTAGACTATTTGGCTTTTGAAATTTACATGGTTTTATGTTGTTTAATATAAATATTTTCATGCATTTCAGTTTTGTGTTAGGGTTTTATTTCTTGGTCAATGGATGGATATAATATTTCTCAATTCATGTTGTGTATGTTGATGGTTGATAGTTGAGACAGGGAATTACTGCGAATTACAGTCTCGTTAATACGTGCTTTGGTGGGAAATTAAACTATTCTGATGATTCAATTTTAGTTACCAATATATGAATTTTAGTTACTCAATTCAATTTTAGTTATTCAATTTTAGTTACTCAATTCAATTTTAGTTATTCAATTTTAGTTATCAATTTTAGTTTCTCAATTCAATTTTAGTTATTCAATTTTAGTTACCATGTTGCCACGATGCCTTGTTGCCTTATTGATTGTTGCTTCTCCATGTTGATGGTACGCTGTTGCTTCAGCTCATGCATTGGTTACTATGACTTATTACGTGCTTCAACTTTTACTTATCATTAATGGATTGTGGTGATGTCCTTAATTTCTGATTTAGGCAGATTGTAAGAGCATCTCCAGCGGTTATTGCTATTTTTGTAATTGTCATATTTATAATTTGGCATGTTACAGTGTCAACGTTGCTCCACTGGCACAATTGCCATTTTGGCACATCCAACTTTCCCTCTATTTTTAGCCACCATTTAATTATCGTACTTTCTTTTTTCGACTTCAATGCAAAATAAAGAACAAAATGCAAAATAAATTAAAATAACATAAATGCAAAACATTTAAGGAGATTAAATGAGAGATGTTTTACGGCTTGTTGGTTGAGAGATCTTTTACTAGGGCAATACTCTCTCTATTGCAAATGGCCCTCTCTCTCTCTCTCTCACTCACAACCCTCATTCTCTCTGAACAACGATCTCTCAGAGTCCTCTCTCTCTCTCTCTCTCACACACACACACGTGCACGCACCTAACTGTCCTCTCTTTCACCATTCACTAATGGTCTTAGCCCCTTTTCTCTCTCACTCCCATTCATCCGTTAGAAGATCTTATCACGTAGAAGATAAGATATCCATGTTGATCTCTACACTCAAGATCACTACGATTTCCGATTTCAATTTCTCAGATCCCAGTGATGATCTCTCATTCCAGTGATGGTCTCCACTTCTCTCTTTTATTGTTGTTTTGTGTTATATTTTGTGTAAATTGTGTTAAACATGTTTTTGTTTCTTTTTGGTTGTGAGATTTGTTGGAATTTGTTGGAATTTGTTGATTTCTATAATTTGTTGGAGTTGGAATTTGTGAATATTCTTGTTCTGATTTTCAGTTTCTCTCCAATATCTGGTTGTGGTTGTTGGAGTGGAGAATTTTTTAGTTTTTTAATATTATTTTGGGAAAGGTGAATGAAAAGGGTGGGAATGCAATTGGGAGGCTGAGGTGGTAGATTTGGCACCTCCAACGGCACACCAGTGGAGACCCTTCCTTTTTTTTTTCTCTCAAAGTTATATTTTGGCAATGGCAGCTGTTTTAGCTAGGTGCTGGAGTCCCTCTAAGATGATGTTTTGCTGAAAATTGTTGCCTGATTACCATTTTGCTTTGGTTGACGAGTGCTAATGGGCAAATTATCCATATTAACTTGATATGGCTACAAGAAACCCTATGTTCAGAAGCAACACTTCATAGTTAACTTGGTGTGTGAAAAGTTGAAAATGAGGAGGTTTTCCAGGTGAATGGTTCCTTTACTTCCATTTTTGTTATATTTTGTTAGATATCTGAACTATATATTGCCCTTTGAACTAATGATTGCCTTATTATGTGCTTGTTACCAGAATTCCCAGTAGTCCATTGATTCGAAGCTATGTGTGTGTGGCCTTAAGGTAACACTAACGGCCGGCAAAAAGAGAGCTGTTTTTTTTTTTTTTTTTTTTTTTTTTTTTTTTTTTTTTTTTTTTTTTTCAATTTTGAAGCCTAGCGACTCTTGATAACACACTATCACCTTAATCCATTCCTTTTGTTGAGGGTCTGTCATGTCTGTTTGGCTCTCTATTTACATAGAGAGTAAAGGCAAGGCTCTTGCTTGAATGTGGGACTGTAGCGCGCAGGGTTGGGTAAACATTAATTCTAAGAGCATCTCAGGTGGAGATGCTAAAGCTGTTTTAGTGTCATAAGTTAACAGTTGACAATCTTCTTTCATTCTATTTTGCTCCAATGGGCATGTGAAGACGGAACACTCAGTTTAACACATTTTAACATATCTCCAATATGTTTTAATGATAAACTTTTCTCGTTCCTGTTATCTTTTTTTATATGTAGATTTATGTAATTTTTCTTTTGGTAATCTTGTCCCTTGCCAACTCTTGTGCTGTTCTGATTTAAACCCAACTCCATCAGCTTTAGGCTAGGCTCTATTTGCACCTAGTGTTACAAATGAGCCGAGCCTTGCTGAACTCGAGCTTGGCTCGTTTGCTTATTGAGCTCGTTTATTGAGCTTGAGTTTGCTTCGATAAGCAACTCGGCTAGGCTCGTCAATATTAATGAAATTTGAGTTCAGCTCGGCTCGATAAGATTTTTTTAACATTATTTATATTATTTAAATAAATATTATAATATTATTTAATACGTAAATAATGTCTTTTTACTATTATTTATATAAAGATAAATGAGCCGAATTTGACAAGCCAAGTTTATTCGAGTTGAGCCAAGTCTTTAATGAACTGAGCCGAACTTGTTCATGAATAGTTCGGTTCATTTGCAGTCCAGTCCCATTTGCACGTTCTTTCTTTTGTGACAGATTGTTTTGATATAAGTTTTTTTTGATAACTTGGTATTCGGCCCAATGAACTGACTAATCTGTGAGAATCCCACAGTTCATTGGCAGGGACCAATTAAAGTCCGGCCATATGCACTGGCCCAAGAAATTGTTTTGATACAAGTTAATGCTAATCCTTGCTGCCATTTCATAGACCTATTTATAAATTAGGTGCTAGCTTCCTTTCAATTCGTGATTGGATTGGAGAGTATTGTTGGGTTTGGACTCCATGGGTTTCGTTTTGATAATCTGAATCGTTCAATGTGTGGAACTCGTTAAGTACTATATATTTGTAAAAAATTACATTAATCAGATATTAATAGCTACGTGATCAAATCAGTTTTGTATAAAAAAAAATGGACGTTGAAAAAATAAGCGGTTGATAGAAATTTGATCCAATGAAACAGATATTGATATCCAATTAACGTAATTTTTTATAAGTATATAGTATTCGACGAATTTTACACATTGAACGGTTTGAATTATTGAAATGGGACTTGTGGTAGGCTCTTACAGGCCCAAAAGTATCTTCCAGTTGTTGAAAAGCTTTGAGATTTTCATTTCTGCTTCATTCTTTACACCACCTAGTTGCTTGAACAACTAGTTGAATTGTGGGTTTTACAGTGAGGCGTCATATGTAGCTGTCTCAGCATTTGGTGTATGTTGGCTAACACTCAAAATGATTTTGATTTAAACATTTTAAATTTTGATTCTTTTCTATATTTTTGCTGGGTACATAGCATTCATATAATTATTTTGAACTTCAGGATACAAATACTAGAGAAGGTAAGTTAAAGACAAGTTAATAGTAGTTGGAAATAATAATGAAGCAACCAATTCAATAAACAATAGTGACCGCGCACACCCCTAATGTTGGCTAACACTCAAAATGATTTTGATTTACACATTTTAAATTTTGATTCTTTTCTATATTTTTGCTGGGTACATAGCATTCATATAATTATTTTGAACTTCAGGATACAAATACTAGAGAAGGTAAGTTAAAGACAAGTTAATAGTAGTTGGAAATAATAATGAAGCAACCAATTCAATAAACAATAGTGACGGAAAATGTATTTGGCTACTTAGAGCTCAAGTGGTATTGTTTGAATCTCAACGTTTGCCACATTATTCTTTGGAAGAATCAGAGTTTAAACTTGAAAAAAAGAACTCGAAAATAGGATTCAGGTTCGTGTTTTTCTTAATATGAGATGCATACAAAAATATGATCCAAAAATTAGAGCCTTCTATGATTCTGTGATTTTAAAGACCATCCTCAATCAAGGTGTTTCGTATCGGTTCAAATTTTCACTACAAAAATTTCAAGTTTGTGACGGGCAAAATGCTGTCGCTAATACTCTTAATAACGTCTTAAAAATTTTTTAACGACGGCAAAGGAGGGTTACAACAGAAGGCGTTGTAAAAACGTTTTAGCAACGGCATGATGCCGTCACCTTTTTTTTTGTGACGGCAAATCTTGTCTTTTGCGACGGCATTTTACTATCGCCTAAATGGAGACCTTTTGCGACGATACTGTTTTACCGTCGCTAAAAGATTTATTTGAGACGGCAAAAATTTCTGTCACAAATTGTTTTTTTTTTTTGCAACGGCATATTTCTTTTGCGACACGACATTGAATATGTCACCAAAAAAAATGTTTTGGTTTTTTGCGACAGTGTGGTGCCGTCGCAAAAAAAAAAACCTGTAATAAAATTATTAAAAATATTAAAATTAACTATATTGAATGAAAAATAATTGAAAAAGAAACCAATAATTACATAATAATATAAAAATTCTTGTATGGAAATAATAATTTCTCCATAATATAAATATTTTTGCATTCATAACTATATATCAACAAAATTACCCCACTATATAATGTTCCATAATACATATATAATGTTTAAATACATAATGTTGTTAATAATTCAAAATAACATAAACCAAAATTAAAAGTTTTCCTCATCATTCTCCGTGGTACAAAAACAAAAACGGAAATGAGCCGTAGCTCGAATCCAATGGCTCGAATTGGCTCGAAAGAAGGAGAGAAAAGAGGAAGAAGCCGAGGAGAAAGAGGGAGAGAAGAGAGAAAGAAGAGAGGAGGAAGAACATAGGAGAAGGAGGGAGAGAGGATCGTCGCTGCTCGCCTCGCCACCGCCGTCGCCTCGCTGCCGCCGATCGTCGCAGCACCAGCGATCGCCGGCTCTGCCTCGCCTCCGCCCCCCGGCCCCCGCTTCCAGTCCCAAATGTTGGGCCCCCTCCAGTGATCGTCGCAGCACCAGCGATCGCCGGCTCTGCCTCGCCTCCGCCCCCCGGCCCCCGCTTCCAGCC